GAGTGGAGAGGGTGGTAGGGGGAGAGGGTGATAGGGGCGGTAGAGGTGGTGGTGGTGGTAGAGGGGGTAGAGGGTAAGGGGTGGAAGGGGTGGTAAAGGGGGGGTAGGGAGTGGTAGAGGGGGCTGTGCAAGCAGAAAAGCGAGCGTAAGCGAGCATTTGATGCTTGTAATAAAAATATCTTAATGCACACGAGCCTCTGTGTACAAAGACATTGCAGAGCTAAGCTCAAAACAGAAGACTCTGCAAGATTGATTTTACAGCTTATTAATAAAAGAGATAGAACTGTAACTATAGTAAAAGTATATCTTTAAAGATGAAATAAGATTAACTTAAGAATGAGTTAAATAATGATATAGATAATTAATAAAAGACTGAAGAGAGATCTACAAAACTAAGAGATAAATTAATTATTAAAGATAATAACTACAGCTGTTTTCTTAATTAAGTTAAGAATGAAGTTAATAAGAGATATTCTCTATAATATCTGATAATACAGTAAGCTCTTTGAATAATAGTTTTCTTTTTACAGACTACTGTTAATAAAGATATATCAGAATCATAAATCTCATAGTAATAAAACTTAATCTTAGATAATATATCTATTTTAATAGACTATTCACAGATTGTAAGAAATTTCACTTCTTACAGATTCTTTATCTCTATTTTCTATCTCTTATATAATTAATAGAGTTAGCAGCTCTTGACTATATATAACTATATAGACTGAAGTTCATGAATACTATTTATAACTCAGTTTAAATACTATTATATATTTAACTTCTATATTTTATCTTTCTATTATGAATACTTCTAGTAGTTAATAGTATATATTATATTAAGCTGTAAATATCTGAATAATTGTCTGTAAGTACTTATTCTTATACAGACTTAAGAGACTGCTGTTAATTATATAAAGTATTAATATATTTAGAATGATAGAGAGAGTTCAGACTCATTTATCATAGAATCTATAACTATAGAAGAATCTGATTTCACTATATATATTTATTTACAGTTTTACACAGTGTAAAGAGATAATTAGTGTGTAAGAAATTTCACTTCTCATGAATTCTTTATCTTTATCTCTATTTCTATCTCTTATATAATCAATAGAATTAGCAGCTCTTGACTACACACAACTATATAGACTGAAGTTCATAAATACTATTTATAACTCAGCTTGAATACTACTATACATTTAATTTCTACATTTTATCTTTCTATCATGAATACTTCTAATAGTTAACAGTATATATTATATCAAGCTATAAACACCTGAATAATTGTCTGTGAGCACTTATTCTTACACAGTGATAGAAAAGATATAATAAGAGAAGATTATAATATCTGAGTTCTCTAAGTATAGTATTGAAGATAGACAGCTGTAGAAGTAGTAGAATACTGTAAAGAAATAAATTAATCAAGAGACTGATTTTATAAGCAGTGAACACAGGCTTTTGACACATTATTCATTCTTGAGAATCTATAAGAGATAGTTAATCAGATGTATTATCTATTCAAGAATCTGTACAGAGTAGATTGTTGATCAGATGCATTATCTATTCAAGAATCTGTACAGAGTAGATGATATGATAGTACAATGTCACGGGATTGCGCTTCGCTTAATTCTACACCAATCAGTGGGCTGTATTCACGCCAAGAACCCCAAAAAGGAAATTCTCCACTTTTAATGACCAGGGTTTTCATCATATATTTGCTTCGCTTCGCTCCGCAAATAAAAAAGAAAAGCAAACATATAGAATCGTGCAGGATATCTAACAAATTAACAAAAGCTAAAATAAACATGTATACTAACAGGAAAAAAAAAAAAAAAAAAAAAAAAAAAAAAAAAAAAAAAAAAAGAGAGAGAGAGAGAGAGACAAGGAAACCATCCCCCTTGCACAAAGCCCAACCTTTCTCTCTTTATCCACCCATTCTCAATAAAAAGAAGGCTGACAGCTCCAAGTTTCTCACCCCACCACCCTTCCATCTACCTACCACCGTTCCATTCCCCTTCCTCCCCTCCCCTTTCAAAATCCCATCCATTCACTACAACCACAGCCCCAATCAAGACAAAACAAAACAAAGCAAAAGAGAGAACTTAAAAATAAAATAAAATAAAAATAAAGCAAAACAAAACATTAAAAAAAACCCCTACATCCCCTAATCAACATCCACCTTCGCCATCCGCAACTGGTTCTTCGCCTCCAGAATCTCCTTCTGCAGCGACTCGTGCGCCTCCGGCACGTCGTTGAAGGCATAGACGCCCCAGCCGAGACGGAAGAGCATGTAGGCGCCTATGACCATGAGGGAGTAGAAGGGGAGCTGCACATTGGGATTAAGTTAGTGTTGTTTTCCTTTCGTTTTCTTGTAACCGCGTAGGTGTGGTGTGGAGAGGGGAGGGGGGGATGGGGTTATGATTGTTGGGGGATTGAGGGTGAGCGGAGCAGTTTTGTTGGACGTACGACTGGTATTATTTCGTTCTGAATGGTGGGATTTAGAGGGACAAGACCGAGGTAGAGGGCGAGATAGAGCTGGTTGGTTTTGGATTATTTTTTTTTTTGGTTGGTTAGGTTCTAGTTTTTAGTATATATGGGGAGATGGATTTTCTAATATGTATATATATATATATATATATATATTGCTCCTCAGTTTATTTTTATTTCTTCCCCTCCTCCTTTACGTACCGATGTGATTAAGAGGATGACAGAGAGGGTCTGTTGAGCTCGAGTCATGTTTGCGGGATGTATGGTATGCAGGAACAAGTAGGTAGGAGGGATGGTTTTCGTATGGGTTGGGTTGGATCGTGCGATAGTAATGGCAGCAATTGAAAAGAAAATTAATATTATGTGTGGACAATTGATATCCCTAGAAGCTTGCGTGCGCCAAATCAAGGACATTCGAGGGAATTGGCAAAGGTTGTCTTTTACCTGTTGTGCTGTCTTCTTCTGTATATATAACTATCCTGTTGGTGATGCCAGCTTCCGCTTTTCGATGATTGATGAGGCAGGTCTAACCACACGCGTGTAAATCACATGGCCTTCGCGTCTAATTAGCGCGAGATACACTAAGTCTAGAACACCGTATCTATCTACGACGTCTTCGTCTCGCTTGTGTTTGCTTCTTCCTACATTTCAATCTTCTCTAGCTCTAGCGACTCTGGGTTTGGTAAAAATATATTGAAGCAAACAAAGCGAACTAATAGCAGCAGGTGGTGCCAATGAGTTTTATTTATTACTTATAGCCCAGAATAATACCCACTGACCAAAACCAACAATTCGACTTTACCAAAGACTTATACCGTTTATGAGCGACTGTCTCAGCATTGACCATCGACGATAGCTTCCAGAGTAGACCATACCAAATGGCAATAACTAGCCCACAAAACCGCTTCCTTGGTCTGATGCAACGAGCGGTGCAGGTTCCAGAACACCAGCACCTGGCGCCAACTCCATCATCACACTTTTCCAAAGAAGCAGACACGGATTGATGTCATTCCATCCGTTCATCGGCGCTTTCAATAACGGTACCTTGGAGCGAATCTTGAATGAAGGAGAAGCTTCATGCTCAGGATTTACTTTTGAGTTCGCTCCTTGTCAAACTTCAGGTTCCAGCCTGCTTGGGCTTGCGAAGTTGCGAAGCCGCTGTGAGTCTCGGCGATTCGGACTTTCCTCTAGTTTCACTCATGCAAATGAAGCTGACCATATCACAACTCCCCCCACATAGAATCATGGGGATAAATGCTTCCACATACCTCTCAGGGGGCTTTTCATTCTGCAATTGAATATATCAACACCGTGTCCTGACTGCTTTTGTCTTATCATCATTTATTCTCGAATTTTAACTAGACAGTATCTTCATAGTCCCAACGCCAGTCCAACCATCACTTTGAGCTAGAGGGAAGTGTTCGAGGCTTTCATGAGGAGCAGCTCTGACCCTTCATCTTATTAGGCGCCCCAGTCATTCTTGGACAAAAATTCCTTAATTAATTTATATCAAAAACCCTTGTTCGCCCTTTCTTAATGGATACTATCGAGCCAGAAGAAGAGCTACTTCAGATTTGATCATCTAAAAGATCCTCACAAGCTGAATTAGTTTCAATGGACGAGAAGGCAGGATACCCGTCTCAGGAGTCTAGCGCAACTCCAAAGGAATCTTCACCGAAACGCAGCGCTGAAGCCGCTGGATTGAGCGGCCCGGACGACAAGTCAAGTCGGAAGAGAGCTTCGAAAGCATGCTAGTCGTGTAGGGCGCGAAAAGTGCGGTGCGGCGTCAGCGAACACGGAGTGCCCTGTCATAATTGCAAACTAGACGACATCGAGTGCATAATCCCGGAGCGCAAAAAGCCAACACGAATGGCCAAGAGACAGTAAGTTACCATTTTCTCTCTATCTCCTTGTCGAGTGGACGGGACACTAATTGTAAATCTTCACGTAAAGTCGTTCCATTGGAGCATTTATATCAGGCGTACTTTTACGCATGGAAAGAGCTTCATCAGACACTGCCGATTCGCCCGCAGAGAGTGTGCATGGAACTCGACATTGCGGGTGGGACAAGACTTTCCTGGACCCTTTCGAAACTGACCTGTTCATTCCCCCTTCGCCGCTACAACTCTCAGCCAACATGGGCCTTCTGGATCCTTCAACCCATTCTCCATTGTATCATACCTCCCAAAACGGCGTTCTAGTCCGCATTTTGCTCCTGCAGATCAAAAACGAAAACACCATGATGGTGCTATGCAAAAACCAGCCGTTCATGAGTCCTCAGCCATCAGAGCACGTACAGCGGATACTAAATCCGTCTTCGCGAGAATTATCTTCATCGCTACGAATGTCACCACACACGCCAGCCGTGGAACCACGTATTATACCCTCATCGCTCCAACAGCTTCGAGACGACTACGCTGCAGCAGCCAGCAGACTACGCTCGCTGGAAGAGGCTATCCAAAACGTTGACTGCCAACTTATAAAACGACATCTTGCCCACACCGGCGATCAATCCCCGGTAAACACCTACAGCGAACCTCCTGGCCTCAATATCAAGAACAACAACACAAAAAAACCACCCCGCTTACCCCGCCTCCCGAAAGAAAAACCGCCGTCGTCATGGTCATGCAGACAGTGCAACAGCTCGAGGCTCCACAAGCAAGTGTCCACAAGGAGGCGGAGTCTAGGCCCCAAATCCAAGCAAATTCCAACGAGGAAATTCCGGTATTTCAGGATGTAACGGCCGTGGAAAGTGGGCGACGCGAACAAGAGTTTCAGAATACGTTTGATACCATAATGGATTTCGGGGCGGGTTCGGATACGATGTTTCAATCTTTTAATTATGATTTCTCTGAGGGTATAGAGGGTGTTTAGGTCTGGGTTTGCTCGAGTTTAACATATTTGGGCGGGTATATAATAATGAGGTGCAAGTGCAAGATAAATTAATCATTTTTCTTTCATGTTCCTTACTGTTTCCCTTCTTTATTCTTACACAAGGGGGATTCTTGTTGGTTAGATACCTGTTTTCAATTGGGAATGTTGGCTATCGCTAGATGGGAAAATAAAAGTTTATAGAGAAAAATATACCCTCCCTTCTCCCATTTTCTATTTCCCTTTGCGATCGTGTAGTTTATTCTATTGCCTTAATATCCCTTTGCCACAATGTCCAGATTTTATGACTACATTTGAGAATTGAAAAAGCTGTTCAACATATGCTATATAACTCCTCTTCCCGTTCCTCTCCCTCCTCGAAGGAGAAAACCTTTTCCTAACCGTAGAAATAAAACCTCCCTTCTTCCTAGCTAGTCTTGAGGCTCCAGCTCAGCTACTGCCTGGAACGCTATCATTATTATTCTGAAGTTGTTAGTAGTCGGCGATTTTTCTCGGCATATTTCCATTGCCGACAGCAACAGCCAGGGGTTTCTTGGCATTTGTTGCCGATTCGGCTGGGCTAAGTCGTAAGGAGTTAGTGAGTTCAGGATTGCCAGGGCTTGCATTTTGTGTTGAGCTCAAGTTTTTTGTATGAATCGATTATCTGCCGCTAGAGAGGTTAACTACAGTAATAGGCGCCTTTTGGATTATGTGATTGGCTATAATCATCACCACTCAAGTCACTTTAGAGAATAGATGAAGCGGGAAGATCTGTGTAGTTAAATGAGGATATAGAGTAACTAATTACCCAGCTGTTAAAGTAGTAACTAACGATCGAAAGATTTCTATCAATCTGATAACTTGTGGGGATGCTTGCTAACTGAAAATGCTACTCATTTTGTAGATAGTAAGATTTATGTAGCAGAAAGGTATGAGAGATTCAACCCATGATAATGTTGACACTGTATCACTTCTGTCTGAAGGATGTGATGCACGCGATGGATGGGCTGATCCAACAAATATGTTAGCTCTCTAATACTCTTATGAGCAAGTTATCGTCCAGGTCTTTCTTGATAACACCCACAGTTGTTATGAGTCAAATGCAAGACATAGTGAGATATGATGAATGCAAGGGAGCTGCAGGGTCATGGCAGACCCCAGGCCCAGCTTGGAGAAATGACAAGACAGACCCCCTATGATGGCACCTCGAGTGGGTGAGTAGATGGAAGATAATAAGGCTGGGCCAAATTTGCTGAGCGATTACCGTCCTTTGAGTCATCTGTCAGTGTGCCAGCAATCTCAAAGTTCTTAATGATCCTTGATTGAATGAGCGATGAGCATAAGGACAGATAAATATGTTGTGTATCTGCTGGAAGGAAAACGCCAACTCGCGCATAGAAGCTCCAGGCCCAGCCTTTTTCCGGGACAGCATGGGAACTTTGAGATGACAGATATATCTGTCAAGCGCCTTGGCGGAGGCCACAAGGCCAGTTCGAACGTGTATCTCCGTCCGAGGCCCTGGCACATTGAATATTAAGCATGGAGAGATCAATATAAGACATGCAACGCTAGGCAGCGGCAGGGGGACGAGCGCAGTCAGCGGATGGTGAGTCAGATGGAAGATGGGGTGCTTGAGGGGTGCTTGTCGGGCGATATTTATATATATATATATTTTTATATATATATTTTTTTTTGTTCAGGGCCTGGGGAGCAACGGCTCTCTCTTAACGAGGCGTCGGAGAATATGCACGATGTGGTAACTTAGTGTATGAGTGTACAGCGCCATTCTTGGACCCGTTGGATAGCAAGCCCTAATTGCCCAAAACGGCATCCCATCAGTAGCTAGTAGTTATCACAAAGACCATTTTTTGGATGGTAATCTCTCTCACACAGGCAACAAGCATTTCTCAAAGCCTTTTTGGACTCTACTCTGCCCTTCCTCAGCTCCGTCTCAGATTTCGCGATTCATAGGCGCCGCCAAATGCTCGGTTGGCTGCCCAGCGCAGCCGCTAGCCAACAGCCAGACCCACCAGCCTGGTCGGTCGTGCCTAATTTTGACGGCTCCAGAAGCAGCTGGCAGTCCCTGTCGATCTGCCAGGCTGCGTTCCTGCATCTCAGCCATATTGCTTGCCATATTGCTTGATTCTGTCTGCGATTCTCGGAACAGAGGCATCAGTCACTGCAACCTTTACTGAATCCAGGGTCACATGCCCCCCTTTCGAGAGGCGATTCCCGTACTAACCGTACGAAGAGCTGGAGTCTAATTCTCGCACCACCATTCAATTTTTGTGGCTTTTCGGATATTGACCCTGCTATTCTGAAATTACCCTGAGCCTGGAGGGTCTATTTTTAAAGAAAGCACTCGCTGTACCAGGCAACGATCTCCTTATTTGCTTTTTATCAACTTCCATCAGGAGTTTCACGAAAGGAAGATGAGTAGTATAAAGGAGAGCTCAATGGCTCCTGAGCAGCCGCAGGAGGCGTCTGAGCCTTCTGCAGCGCATCACCAATGCCAGGAGTTACCTATATCAAAACCCATAACTAAGGAAGAGACCCAGTTGTCTTCTCCTCGTTGTACAGATACTCCATTATCCGAAGAGCCTTCTCCCCCATCTGCGCCTCCCAGAGACGGGCCCAAGTTGGCAAAGGAAGAAGAGGAGGAAATGTTTCGCGCCCTGCAAGCCATATTCAAGACTGCTGAAGATGAAGAGGGAAATTTCGATGTTAAGGGTTTACTCAATGTTCTGGAGGAGGCGGACGAAGACACTCGCTACGGCAGGCGGAATGTGAATGCTCTCAAGGGTGTCAGGGACAACCTTGGTCTCCTCTGGAGGAGCGGATCGGATTACATGGCCCAAGCTGCGGAGGTATTAGCGAATGGAAGCCGGGACCGTACGTTCAATCTATTTACGGGCTCCTTTGGACAATGCGAGAATTTGGGGCTAATTCGGATTTTATGATAACAGCGGCTTGGCGGGGAGCGTACGGTGAAACCGGTATATTGGACTTTTTCCTCCGAGTAATTGCAACGGATGACGTGGAGGACGATATCTTACTTCACTCTTTGCGATTAATCGGAAACTCCTGTGCGGATACTAGTGCGTGATTGAATACATGGGTCATCCATGTTTCCCCCGTCTCCGTTCTTTGAGGCTAACTCGCAGTATATACAGATGAAAATAGACAGCTTGTCGTTGATAAGAATTACACTTTTCCAATTATCAACCTCTTCAAAAATCCTGCGGTGGTTCATGTTGCTATCCCTGTTATATACAATATTTGTGTCGACTTTGGTAAGTTGTTGAGCCTTTTCTAACTCCACGCTCCGTCTCCGCTCTCCGTCGCTTCCTACCTACAATTTCCTAGCGAGGCTAACTTCATCTTGACAGAGCCGGCCCAGGCTCAAGTTGCTGAGAACGGAATTGGATACAGTCTCCTCACGCTACTCTCCGATGATCTAATCGAAGGAAATGCTCTTTTAGCGTATGCTCTCGAACTCCTTGAAACAGCAACTGAACATGGTTCGTCTCGTTCCTCCCCTCCTTTCGCGATTGGGAGATGAAACGAAAAAAGCTGACAGCAGCTGCTCAAGGAGTTGAAAGGGCACCGGATGCCGCTCTTCCATTACTTATCAACCTCGCAACAGATGAAGACATAGGCTTTGCTCGGTTTACAACACTCACTAGCTGCCTTGCGTTATATCTACAAAGTGAGCGCTTCCAAAATTTATGCATTATTCGCCGACTTGTCGAAAGGGTGATTTTACTCCTACGCCGGTCCTACGACCATCCTCCTCATGGCCTTTCTCCCGAGGACATTCAGGTGCTCATGCAACTACGGCTAAGGATAAATCAAGCCCTTTCCGACATTTCTGCTCTCCCCCTATTCTCCCAGGCCTATCCTCTTGACTGTGACCTCTCGGAGACACTGCGCTCTTGGCTCCGGGAACCCGAAGACCAATTACAAATATGCGCTTGTGTCATGCTTGGGAACCTAGCCCGGGAGGATAAAATTTGTGCATCAATGGTCAATGATTTCGAAGTCCACGTACCCCTGATATCAATTTTAAACGCAGATGCCAAAGCTGCAGTCCTACACGCCGTTCTCGGGTTCTTAAAGAACCTCGCCATTGCCACTGACAACAAAGAACCCTTGGCCTCCGCTGGAATTATTAAAGCTGTATCTCGCCTGTGGGCATTTGAGACTGTTCCTCAGGTCCAGTTTGCCGCAGCCAGTCTCACGCGCCAAGTAATCGTGTCCTCATTCAACAACATTTCCCGTTTGCTAGAACCCTTATCCTCCGACCCTGATTCCCCTGCAAATTCCCGCACTTATCTCTCTCTACTCCTCTCCCTTTTTGAAAAGTCAGACACGACCCCAATCAAAATAGAAATCGGCCGCACGATCTGCGCCATATGCCGCTCCATAAACCAGCGTCAACAACACGGAGCCGAGGCGGCGATCGAAGCTTTTGATCTCGCTGAGCGCCTATATAAGCTCCACGAGGATGTTGCTTGGCCCCTTGGAACGATGATAACGCAGACAGAGTGGCCTGTCGTGCAGAGCGAGGGCTGGTTTGCTCTCGCACTGATGGCGTCGACACCCTCCGGTTCCCTAGCGGTTGTCGATAGTATGCAGAACATGAGCGTTTTCCAGCTGATCAGTGACACAGTTAAGATGATTATATCCGAGCCTTCTGGCGGAGAGTCTGTGCAGGAGAAGACAGAGCGGTTGAAGAAAGCGAAAGATCGGGATAATGCGATTATTCTTGTGAACGGGTTGCTGAAGAATAAGGTAGGCTTTCCTTCGTCATCTGATTCCTCTTTTCCGTTACTTGGTGTCTTCGATCCCCCCCGTATAATTTTTTTCTTCTTCTTTTTCTTCTCTATAAAAATATTTTCCGCCACCCCAATACTAACCATATCTTCCCCCGAATAGCCAGCAACACTACCCGGCGCAAGAAGGGAGATGCTTGAGGATCTCATGCGGGATGTCGCAGAAACTTACTTTGTTGAATAAATCTACCGCGGAATACGGCTTTGAAGTGCTCATACACTATACACACTGCGCATTTTTTGAATGCATCGTATCTGGCGTAATTGATTTCTTGACGTTCATATATCACTTTCTCCACTTGGTTAATTAACGAAGTTATGAGTTTGAGAGTGTTTATTCCCTTGTTTGTTCGCTATTTCTCATATGCGTATAGAAGGTATTCTATTCCATCTGGGCCTTCCACTCCTTTTTATACATATTTTATTTCTTTTCTTATACAAGTTTCCTACGTCGCATTTACATCGAGTTTCCAGCCATTTGAGCCGCTCCATATCCATTTGATTGAGCATAGCGTGTGCGGTCTAAAAGTAAAATGACCTGCATTTGGTTCGATTTCAGCTTTCCTTTTACCTCCACAAACAAACAGGAAAACATTATACTAACCATTGTGAATGAAGAATGTTCGATGCAATGGTCAATATAATATCAGGCTAAAAGGAACACATATTTATCCATGCATTTATATACATAATATGAACGAATGTACACAGAAAAATATTGAATTCGCGTCTAGGGAATCAAGAAAAGAAATGGAAGAAAGAAAGAAGAAAGAAAGAAAGAAAGAAAAAAGAGGGCATAAATCACGCCCTATAAACATTGAGTGAGGATTACCGGACACATTCAGCAGTCCATGATCAAAGCCTTCCAGCCAGCCAGCTAAGTCATTAAACCGAGGCCCTATCCCCATCCCCACCACCGCTCCCCGTCTCTGCTTCAGCCACCCTGCTCCTCCTCTCCCGCAACTTCTTCTCTATCCTCATAAACTCCCGAATCCCTACCGGGATATCGGCGAACAGGTCGTCGTCCAAATCACCAATACCGTTGCCATTAGCACTAGCCCAATTCACCTCCGACCCACCACCATCATCATCCATACTCATACTAGCACTCTCCACCTCCTTCCGCGGCTTATGTCGTATTTCCCCGACCGCAACGATATCGCCCCCTTTCTCAGCAATAATAGTCCCCTTCTTCCCTTTCGCCTTCCGTTTTCGCCTCTCCTTCTTTAGTTGTTTTCCCTTCCTCTTTGCCTCCCTCACCCGCTCCGCCCACCCCTCAACGTCATCTCGATAGTCATCCCAGACGCAATGGACACAGCCGCTCATGCAGCAGTTATCGGGTTCCTGGGGGCGGGGAGGGATGGGAATGCCGTAGATGACGCGCCAGGTGGATTCAGGCGTGCGGCTGCCGGGGTCGTAACGGCCGGAGGAACCAGCGTAGCCCGGCCCCGCCAGCCGAGTGCCGAAGACTATGCCCATCCTTTCAGCGGGAGTAGGTTCGCGGGCTGATTCCGGGGATTGGGTTTTGGCATTATCTACCACCTCAGGTGGAGACATTTTCTCTTCGGGTAAGGGAGGTCGGGTGCGGCGGGCGGGGTGTTGTGAGTATGGATTGGAGAGGATTTCAAGATAGTAGCCTTGTAAGGGATATGCCTGATGAGGCTGTTTGGAGGAGAGTGCGTGTGATTCATCTTCCTCATTCCGCTGAGCCGGGGTGGCTATCTGTTTATGCTGGTACGGGTTTGAGTGCAGATGTCTACGGGAAGGACGGGTCGATGTTGCCGGACCTGCAGCGGGGAGAAAGTAGTTTGTACCGCTGTAAAGGCAGCGGGCGCATATAGCATTCCTGTGCCGGAACTGCTTCCAGAGCAGAAGAGACAGCTGCTCCATTAGAGAGAGTGTGGCCTTGAAGGCGTGAAGAATAAGTATGACTGTTGCGGGGACAATTTTTTTGGATAAACATTTGCCGAGATAATTTATCTACGCAGTAGATTTATCTCTAAGACTATTTTATTTAGTAAGATCACATGCTCAGAAGCAATTCTCATCAAATTTCTATTATTTTGATTGCAGAGAAAAAGAATAGAAATGTATAATTGTAATATTAAAAATATCAATGTATATATATATTATTGAAACAGTCAGTCTATACTCTCTACAAATCAATATTTTTAAAAGAAATTCTCATGCTCAATGCTCTAACTTTAACTGACTTTATATCTAAAAAATAAAAATATGAAAAATAAAAATTAGTTTCATCATCAAAAAAAGATCAATTGAATTCTTTAGTTATAATCTTGTGTTAAAACAGCCATCTTTTCTTGTGCAGCGGCTTAACCAAGTTTATGTTGGGGGTCCCGCGGTTGATCGGCCCTTCTACCAGCAGTGCGCTGGTGGTGATCGAGCTCTTTTGCCCCAGTAGCCTACAGATTAACTCCGATCACGTGGCGAATGTTATGTCATCCAACCACCCACGTTGTTTCTCTCCGCAACAACCAGCGGTTTGTTTACAGGATATATGGCTTCGTTGCTTTCTCGCCTTAAAGGAGCCGGTAAGCCTGTTCTACAAGCTATACAAATTGCCCTCTCTCTATGTACAAGCTGCTTATAAGTAACCTTTGTTAGGTCTGAACGTCCCACCACCCCACTCCCAATACCTCCGCATGTCGACGCGCCTCCTCCATGCTCGATTCACCCGCCAAGCGGCGCAAGTCTAATTCCTCCAGCGCAATCGCCGTCAGCGCTTCAAACACAGCCCAGCAGTCTCAGGTCAATGGCGTTGATGTACAGAAACCGCAGCGCCCAAGCCGCGCATCGTTCCAGTCACCTACCAGAGCTAGTCTCGCCCGCTCACACCCAGACGTCCTCTCGCGCGTCCTGAGTCGCTCCCCCGCAAAAACAGCACAGCAGAGGCCAGCGAGTCGTGGGAGGGAGAGCGTTAGTATTGGTGGTGGTGGTGGTGGAGTGGGGGATGGACAGTCGGGCGTAAGAGGTAGCAGGCTGCCTAGGCCATCGTCACTTTCTGTGACTTCGGCTTTAGTGAAGGAATTGCCGATTCGGCAGGCGATCCAGAAATTTGTCCCTTTGTCGCCGCGTCGTGGGTCAAGTGTTCCTGTTTCTGCGTCTCAACCACCGCGAAAATCATCGCAGCGATCACAGGTCTCCTTGTCGGCGGAGCCTGGTGCACAACGCCCCACGCCACAACCCCCCTTGCGGGGCAAGGACCCAACATTTGGACCAATAGTGGACGAGTCAATTGCCAATGGGAGACGCACGCGGTCTTCATCATCGCCGGGTCAAGGACATGGCGAACCTGAGTTGCCTCCTACTCCGACTGAATTGGGTCTGGAGAGAGTACCTAGCCGTCGGAGAGGATTGTTGAGTAGCAGTAGCCCGAGCTACCGCCTGGAGAAAAAGAGGAAGCAAAGGATAAGAGATGGCGTGAAAAGGCTTAGTCCACTTAAAGCTAAAGGCCCAGAAGTTGACACGGATAATGTTGCCGATCAAGTTGCGTCTCCGCGCATTACTTTCCCTGAAGACGACGTTCCTGATCCAGTAGGGGAAAAGGTAAAGTTGCGTGATGCGCTTGCAGCTCAGCTAGCGAGATTGAAGGAGGAGGTTGCGAAGATAGAGTATGAGGCGCAAAGATATGAAAAGCCAGACGAATACCCAGCGCCAGATGAAGAATCTATTAACAATTTAATGTAAGTCACCATCCCATCTCTCCCGATTCCTTGAAGTTTCTAGCTAACCAACTATTTCAAAAGCGAACTCCTGACGACCTCTAACCCATCATGTGCCCCTCCACCCCCACCGCCGCCCTCACCACCCCCAGTCTCCTCCGTCCTCTCATTCCTCCTACCGTTTTCATCCTCCCGATTCATTCCCTCAACTGAGCCTGCCCCACCTCCATCAACCTCCCCCCCGCCAGAGAACCCGTTCGCTCTACACCAGCCAGCAGACTTAACACCATACCTAACGCTCTTCGCACCCCTATCCCTCACCGCGTATACGACCACAACAACCTCCACCTCAATTCTCCCAAATTCAACACAAGAACCATCCTCGTCATCATCACCCATTATTACCCAAACGCACAACCTAACCTTATCCGCACCCGCTCCCTTTCCCACCCACCTCTTCCAAATCCCCATATCCCTACAAACAAATCCAGAAAGCCAGTCCGTTGTCTCCATATCTATCCCCGCACAACCGCAGCCACACCATCCCGATAAACCAGTAGATCACAATATCCCTCCCACGCTCTCCTCCTGGCTACAAACCCGCCTCTCAAACCCACTATTACAACGCGATATCTCCGGTCTCTGCTGGGGAATATCCCGATACTGGGAAGCGGATATATCGCGAGCGAAGATCTGGGCGGAGCTGGAGGAGTTGCGCGATCGGGTAATAACTACTACCCTATCGTCAGCTCAGAAGGTGCCCTCCGTACCAAACCGTGATGACGATAATGACAAGGAAAACGACAAGAAGACATACACGCCGCACATTCTCCTTCCGCACCTTGGGCGCACGTCTTTTCTTTTCTCTGTTGTAGAGACACGGCAACGGAAACCGGAAGTACCAGCGGGTGGTAGCGTTCACTCAGCATATCCACAACTCCTCGTTACATGCTCGCTTAGATTGGATTTATGGACGAGCGAGCCGCAGCTGCAGCCGGATATTAGCGTTTCGGTACCGCTGTCGTCCCCCGCGGGAAGCCCGGAGAAGATGGAGAGGGAGGCGAAGAGGGTTTTTCGGAGCTTTTTGGGGAGTGGGCATGGCAAGGGTAAGGGCAAGGGCAAGGGATGGAAAGCAGGGGCGTATGGACAGGTAGAGATTGATGGGGATGCGGAGGTGCTTGTTCGAGCTGTTGAAGGGGTTGTTGGGGTTCTTTTTGGGGTGGTGTGAGTGAAGATTGGGCTGGTTGGGTTGGGGAGAGGGGGATTATAAATTGCATGTGTGTATACACGTGTGGGTATGTTGTATTGTATATAATGCTTCTTTCTTTTCCTTGGGTGATGGATAGGCGGTTTCATAGATTATTCTCATCTTTTTTTCCGCGGCGGGATCATTTGACAATCGAATCGTGCACGGCGCAATGGGATTGATTTTTTACTTTCAAGGAACAGAGAAATGGGGATTCGGCATCTTTTCTTTGTTGGTTTGTGTAAGTAGCAAGCCCGAACAATTTTTTTTGACGAATAATAGGATCGGTCTGTTTTTTGTTTCTTTACCTGCTTCTTAGATTACAGTGGTTCCAAGCATGAGTATACTGTTTGGGTGCTATATCGAGACATATTTATAGTTGCGTACGGGAAATGTAGCCCATGCTGTAACTAGCTGGAATGCCATAGTCCCCAGTCTGAACAAATTTGCCCTTTGAACCTTCGATTACTCGCATACCGGATTCGATTATGCGTGCGGGATAAAACCTGTCATTATATGGCATGACACCCTGGTTAAAGACGATCAATGTGGCTACGGAAAACCCGGTGGGTGGGGGGAGAAAGGAGAAAGGCAACTAACGGATCTTACATATCTTTACGCAAGTCATCGTTTGAAACATTGAGAACGGAAAAGAGAGAAAAGAAACGGAAGAAAGAAACCAGAGAAAAAAGAAAAAAAAGAAAAGTAGGAATTAAAATATAATTATGCCGTAGTATTGTATGTTTCTCTCTCACTGCAGCTGCTCCGCTCTCCTGCCATCCCGAGTTTTGGTCCGGATGGCGCAGATACCAGTTTCCAGTGTTGGCTGTTTTTTGTTTTCCCTCTCAAACAACCCATAACATAACCATATTCCTTTTCCATTCTCCTTCTTCTACCTCCCGCCCCCTTTTCCTCGTGTTAAAAAAAGATCATATATCAACCAAGCAAGATCCGACGAACCCAAGCAACCCGCTCCGTCATGAGAATCAGCATTAAAACGGGAGACGAAAGCAGCAATAACAACACCGAGAAGAGGGAGAAGAGGAAATAGATAATCTCGGAAAAGTGACGGCCGGCCATGATTTCTTTTCTTGAATTTTCCCCTCACGGAAACAAAGTTCTCTAGGCGTCCGTCCGATCTCTTCTCGCGAGTGGTGATGGCGACGATGGTGGTGAGAGTGGTATTGGTGGTGCTGCTAGTTTCTCGTTCTTCCGTTTTTGTAGATTGCGTTAAAAAAACAAGTTAAAAAATAAAGAAAAAGAAGAAGAGGAAAAAGAAAAAGGAAGAGATAAACTCATTTATCAGATTCCCTTCTTTGTTTAAAATTTTATATTTTTTTTTTCGTCTCTCTCTATTTCTTCGCCGCAGCAGCTTCGTCAGCCTTGGCCTTGGCTCTCTTCTCCCGTACACCAATCAGTCTCGCCTCGCTCCGGGCGTCTCTCAGTTTTCTGTACGCACCACCCTCGACACCAGCGGGCAGGTCACTCTTGCTGATCTCTGAGACGGCCTCGGCGCGGCTGATATTGTTGATGGGGAAGAGAGAGTCAACGCTCTTGGTGAAGCTGTCCTGGGCAGCCTTGATCTCCTCGGCGGAGGAGTCGAGTTTCTTGTATTGGCCGGCGCGGCGGGGGAAGAGGATCAGGCGGGTCTTGTACTCCTTCAGGCGGGCGACGTTGACGGTAAGGGATTCGGAGGAAGCATTGACGCGGCGGTGGTCGACCGCGATACCGATGGTGGGTGCGAGTTTGCGGGGGATTCCGGCTTCCTGTGAGTTTTAAGAGCGTGTGAGCGGATTGTTCGTTGGACATGATTTCCAGTCGCCTACGTGGCACTTATTCCCTCGAGACAGTTCGGGGAAAGAAAATCCGTACCTTCAGCTCTTGAAGAGTGAAGCCACGACCAGCTCTGACACGGCGATTGTACTTAACAGTCGGGCATCGCACGACTGGTCTCAGCTTATCGACAGGGCGAGGGGCGACGGCAGCCGCCTTTGCAAGACGAGCTTCCCGACGACGGTGTTTGCGACCAGGCTATATCAAGTAAAACACACGAGGATGTGTTAGTTGTGTAAATTTTCGATGTTCGCATGAATTCCCTTTCCCACAGATATATGGGATGGATCTTCGCGTGTTTGTTCTTGGATTGCGGGTGGGTTGGAGAATTTCAGAAATTCCGGATGGGTTATGGGACGAATGGGTGTAAGATTGTTGATATCGTACCTGATCGAAATGTACCCGAACACGGCGAGCCCAGTCCTTGTGGAAATCTGTACAAACACAGCAAAAATCAGTCACCAACTTCTTCCCCAAATATATCGTAATGATCCAATTTTGGCATAAAACTCACGGTTTTTCGGGATGGTCTGGTTATGCTTGATCGCCTATAAAACCACACACACACACAAAACCACACCAGCACAGGTCAGCGATCTGTTGTCACTCTTTCTCCTCCCGCTCTCCCGTGCTCTTATTTTTCTTTCTTCAAACCGGAGGCTCTCTCTCAATTGGAATTTGGCAGAAACATACCATGGTGACGGATGGGGACCAAGGAAGTCGAGGCGGATTTGAGTGTCGGTTGTCGGTGGTCGCGGTTCAAACAAGACAAGACAGGACAAGGAAGAAAGGACGGAGACAGCAAAACCTTGGAAGTATGTTGTGGGTTGGTGTGTCACGTGCCGGTGCGCATAGGCGCCAAGAACGCTTCCGCATGCGGCTCGCTTAGCGATGGACGGTTAGCCCTAGGGGCTTCCTAATCGGGTAGGCAGGACGTTGAGTTGAATTCATTTATAACTACCTACACTGTACAGAGTAGGTATGAACTGACAGAGAATAGAGAGTATTCCTATTTGATTCAGAGACAGATGATGAAATATTAAATTTCAATGAAATCAAGTTCTAATGAGTGTCAAATGTTGTATATCTTATTTATCTTACTCTTACTGATACTGCAGAGTGACTATTATAGTCTTTTTACTTACAGATTGATCAGTGACAATGTGAAGAAGAATGATGATAATAATAATAATAGATCTCTTCTCAGAGTACTCTGTACAGTAGACTTCAAAATACTGCACAGACACAAAAACAGTGAAAACTCACAAGAATATCATCATTAACAAGCAGATTTCATCCCAAGAAGTGAACAAACTCAAGACATAAAGAAAACTGACAACTATAAAGACAAAAGCTCCCCCATTCAAAGAACAAGAGAGAGGAAATTCACAAGTCATAACAAAACCACCAGCTGAATCCTGATTGTTACAATTGCATATCACAAAGCATAATAAAAGGAAAAGCACAACAGAGAAATTATTAAACAAAAAAGAACATCATGAAAGTTTTCATCAAGTCATAAGCCAAAGTATCCCCAATCAAACAACCCAGGTCAAAAAGGGTGAGAGCAAAGCAGACACATTTTCAAACATCATATTCCATGGACAAAGGAGAAAAGGAAAAGAATGGACAATAGGACAAACAAGAGAAAAGATTCGAAACAACCATCAATAGGAAACAAATAAAGAGGAAGAGAAACAAGACGGAGAAAAATAAAAAGGAAAAAAAAGAATCAAGGTTGAATCCCAAGCCCAAACGCCTCTCCAGCCCGTAGCTTCTTCGTCGCAATCTCCTTCTCGCCGGCATAAACATTACCAGCAGCTTTCCGCTTCAGGCTATTATTACCATTTTCTCCACTACCGCCTCGCTCAACACCGGCCTTCTTAACCTGCCCAAATAGCTTTGTTTGCAGGGTCGAACTGGATTTAGAAAGATTCGAGGACATCGAACTGTGTTGTTGTTGTTGGTGCTGGTGCTGGAGTTGTTGTTCTTGGCTGCTCCCGGGGTATCGGCGGAGCATGCTCGTAGCTAGTGAGCTGGCTTGCGAGGCGGGGACGTCTTCGTCGGTAAGTGCTTCTTTGTCATCTTCGGAAGCGGATATTGTGCTATCGCGATCGTGGCGGCCACGTTCGTCACGCTCACGGCGTGAGATCGAGACAGAGTGGTTGTGACCGTGGCTGTGGCGGGAGTCTGGGGTCCGTTTGTTGATTGGAGTGAAAAAGTGGCCTCGGGATTCTGTGGTGCGGGATCGTTGCGGGGTTACGGGGAGGGAAGACACGGGGAGGGAGGACACGGAGTGGTTTACGCGGGTGTGCTCCTGGTCGGGATTGTGGCTGTGGGGTTGAGAGTGGGAGTGGTGATGGTGATTGTTGGATTTATGAATGTGATTTCGTGATGGTGTAGAGTGCACGCTGACATTTTCTCCGTGTAGAACTTGGCCAGCTGCAAGTAGTGCAGCAATCGGATCCTGGCTGCCAACTCTGCTAACATGGCTACGGGCACTATCTGGGTATCGAGTGGAGGTAGTCTTTCTTTGCGGAGTGAGAAATTCGGGTTGTGGACTGGGCATCAGAGATCCATGGTCCAGCATAAGAGTGAAATGCTCACGATTTTCACGGATGCGCTTCTTAAGACGGCTATTCTCTTCGCACAGCAGCTCGTTTTTATCCGTTTCTCCCTCGATGATTCGTTTGGCTCGTCGCAGGCGGCGTTCCAGTGTGATGTTTGCGTCCTCGAGCTCCTTGATCCGTCTCATTGTTGCGTCTGGCTGAGGCGTCTTGGGAGACAGTTCAGGGGATTTCTCCAGGCTGAGGCCGCGCCGATGGCGATATTCTACACTTTGCAGAATCTCGACTTCTCTTCGTGCAAGCTTCTGCTCCACCTCGGCTCTCTTGATCGCCTCGCTGCTGGTGAGGCACAAGAGACTGTGTTGGAGCTTGAAGTGAGCAGCTGACATGCGAAACTCCTGTGCAAATACAAGGAGATCCTTCGCAACTTTTCGCAGTTGCGCCTCATCTGCGTTGTCGATATCTCTCGAGGATGGCAGATCCGCTGAAGCTCCATAAGCTACGCAGAGCGTTTGGTCAATGGTGGCGGGCGGTGATGCGAGGAAGACGTCTGAGTCTGAGCGTGGACGACGGAATGGAGTAGCCGCAGCATTGCCCATCTGTTGTGTTGTTGTTGTTGTTGGAGGAGGGGTCATGTTGGAAGAAGATTTTGGCGGGGGAGATGAGCGGAGTTTCTCAGGCATGGAATGTTTGTAGTTTTGGTTGATGGCTGGCTTATCTGGAGAGGCTGATAGGCTTGCTCTAGAAGGAATTGGCGTGCTCGGGACCTTGATCTCTGCCGCAGGTGCTAATGAGCACTGGGAAGACCTCTCTTCAGTTTCCCTCGTCGTCATGGCCGCCATCAACAAGATAGGGAAGGAAGCCGTAGATAAAAGGAGAGAGTGAGTCAAGTCGATATGGATATTTAAAAGGATTATTTGTTGCAAAGGTGACAAATATTCAAAGAGAGGTGGTGAGCGACGAAAAGGTCGAAGACTAGAGGCCACGTCACAATCGTAGCAATCGAGCGGATCGAGGGACGGGCTGCTCGCGCGGGCGGGTCTCTGCTTACTGTAGCACTGAGAACCAAGCAATTGGCAAGCAAGAGACGCGACGATGTCGTGTTTCGCAGGAGAAATAAATATATATCCGTCTGTATATACGGAGTATCTAATTTGGAAAGAGGAAATGAGATGGGTGGTTTGCCAGGGACCCCAGGATGGAGAAAGGGAGGTTTACTAGTAAAACGAGGCGGGCGAGGAGGCTGGAGGAATATCTCATGGGTTGTTGTGGAGGCAACGGATGAAACGGCCCACTTTTGGTGAATCCACAGGCGAGACCACGCTGAGTATGAGAATGCGAGAGACAACGTAGAGAGATATGAATGATTCATACAAAAGGAAAAGAGAGAAAGCTCAGGTGAGACGGACAAGGGATAGATATAGTAAGATATATAGAGGAGGAAGTTGGGGGGATGTTGTTGGTTGTTGAGGAGATGAAGTCAACAACAAACTGGTTTAAGCCGCAGCCGATTCCCTTCCAAACAGGAAATTTGCGGAGGCTGGGGTCTTGGCATTCAATTACCAGCCACACAAATTATGAATCATGTGACTTAAAGGACCATATCGAGTTAGCGTGGAACGGGAGCTTTCAACTATTGGTCTAGTCCATATATGGTTAGTCATATAACATCCGGAATAATGATCCTCCGGATAATCTTGTCCCAAATAGGAAAAGTCATAACAGCCGCTCCTGTTCAGGGATCAAGCTTGGGGAGAAATGTCTATACACATCCACCTCCGGTCAGAAACATTCCGGACAAAACAAAGACAGACAAGGCTTCCTTTGAAAGATAAAGCAGGAGGGGAATAATTCAACACTCTGCCGGATTTATTCTCTCTAACTGTGGACGTCCAGTTGACCTTCTCTTAACTATGCATCTCGTCTTCAGCTAGGTAATTCTTGGAAGCTTACGCTGTAGTTAGTTATTGTCTACTTTACCCCTGGTCCCTGATCTTCCAATCCACCTGAACCATGGACCACAGCTATTCCACCCCGAAACGTCCCAGTGGCATTCCACGGCCCATGTCAAGACTCCCACTGCCTACGCATTCTACTTCCTCCAAATCTATCCGGCCGTCTCCGTCTCGCGAACGCCTACAAGCTGATTCCGGGTTAAACATAGAGAGATTGCGGAGACCTTCACAAGAACTCTTTAAGAAACCCCCGCTGCCGTCTCCAGCTAAATCTCGAGAGAGTTCATATGGCCAGAATGAGTATTCGTATAAATGGACCCCCAATTCCGGCGGTTCCGTGGCGGAAGATGAAGAAGAGGAGGAGGCACGTGAAAGCAGGAGTAACAGAACAAGTATCTACACTCCAACAACTAAGTCTTCAAGACCCTCACTATCCGATCGGACTATCGAAACTATAGCCCAGATTCCTTCTTCACCGTCTCCTAGTAAAAAGAAATCGACGTTTTTTGCCCCCGAAAGCCCCATGGCACCTCCCTCTCGGCCCCCTTCTGTCACCAATAATTACCAGTCACGCCCTCCATCCCGCCAGGATAGCGCCAATGGATCAGTTCTGCAATTCTCCTCCGCCATACGAACCGCATCGACACCTCGAACACCTTCTAGTGTCTCAAATATGCCCCAGCCAACATTCATCAAGAGATCCGTGTCTATGTATCGAGAGTCCACCACGCGGTCTTCAATAAACGGTGCTGGTACTGCCTCGCCAAACCATAGTAACGTCTCTACGGCTCCACCAATATCGAAGAAAGAATCTAAAACCCCTGCCGCTGGCGCACGAACCTCGTTTTATGGAGGTAGCAAAAGCATGTCAATAAGACCACCTAAAGCGCGCCCATCCCTAGGCGCCAATGCATTCGCAGCCCAATCGAACAACGTAAGTACAGGCAATGATGCTAAGAAGCCTGCAGCTAGAGCACCTGCCACAAAAGCACGGAAACCTTCCTCGAATCTTTCTTCTAATCTTACCTCTCCAACATCTACCTCCTCAAAGAAATCACCCAGAACTTCAGTGACGTCAGACGGTAATCCGTCCGATTTACCGCCACGAGAACCAGAAACAAGGAAAGCAACGAAGTCATCAAGCGCTCTTAGAGAAACCATTGCCAAGGCGAAAGCTGCGAAAAAAGCCGCAATGGAAAGTAATGCTAAAAATGGCCTAGGTGACGTTCTGGATCCCTCGAACGACCCCTTTGCGCAGCTGTCCAAAGCTGAGCCTAATAAACGTGTATTGAAGAACAAGGCTGCCGCGGCAAGGACATCAGGTCATTTAAATATCGCTGCCATGGGACTGAAGGAAATCCCAGATGAAGTATTGACTATGTACGATTTTGATCCAGAAAGTGAGGGCGAATGGTATGAGAGCGTTGATCTTATTAAATTTATCGCGGCGGACAATGAGTTTAAATCGTTATCAGATGCTATATTCCCTGATGTTGATTTTAATACCATGGACATGGATGAAAATACCAAGGGATGCCAATTTGGTGGACTGGAAGTTCTAGATCTTCATGGCAACATACTTACTACTCTTCCCAAGGGTTTGCGAAGACTCCAACGACTACGTTCTTTAAATCTTTCCCACAATCGGTTGGACGCGGAAGCTTTCGAAATCATTACCGAAATCTCATCACTAACCGACTTAAAACTAGCAAATAATAAGCTTGGAGGCAGCCTAACTTCAATTATTGGTGCTCTTTCTAAGCTTGAGGTGCTAGATCTCCGTGAGAACAGCCTCACTGAACTCCCAGATACTCTATCCGACCTTTCCTCATTGCGCGTTCTTAATGTTGCCGAAAACCAGTTGACTTCCATTCCATTTGAGGCTCTAAAGGCACTTCCTCTTGTCGAGATCAATGCTCAGAAAAACCGCCTTCAGGGACATCTTATTCCAGCCTCAGTTACCCGCTTGGAGACTCTACAAGTTCTGAACGTGACGAGAAATTCATTGGAAAGCCTTTCGCTTGCTGAAACCCTGGAGTTGCCCAACCTCCAGCAGTTATCCATAGATGCAAATCGCATCAAGGCTCTCCCAAACATTTCTACTTGGAAATCACTCCTTACCTTAACCGCGGAGGACAACGCTATCTCTAGCCTTCCGGAAGGTTTTTTAGAGCTCGAAAATGTAAAAGTTGTCGATTTTACAGGCAACAATATAACAACGCTGGACGAGAAGATTTCCCTATTGGAAAACCTCTTCTCATTCCACATAGCGAACAACCCGCTGCGAGAACGCAAATTCCTGACGATGGATACCGACGAATTGAAAAGAGTCCTACGCGGCCGTTGCGAACCCGACCATCCTGAAGCTGAGGAAGAAGACGGCTCAGTCCAGACCGAATTCACTCTGGCCCCAGAGAGCCCTACACACGCCAGCGCCTGGCGTATTAAATCCGGTGGCGTCCTCGACTTCTCTTCCACGGACTTAGCCGACCTCGACCCGGCAGATCTAGAACCCCTGCTTGCCTCTTCCACAGCTATAAAATGCCTGTACTTACACCACAACCGCTTCCACACTCTCCCCGTTGCCGGCCTCACCCTCCTCTCCCATACCCTCACCGACCTAGACCTCTCCCACAACCCCCTCTCCTCTAGCCCCACCACACCGCTTCTTACAACACCTCTTTCCCTCCCAAACCTCCAAAACCTCACCCTGAGCTCCACAGGCCTAACAAGCCTCGAGGTCCTCCAACACCACCTCTCCGCCCCAAACCTCACTTTTCTTGACGTCTCCAACAACCGTCTCACAGGACCCCTTCCCCACATCCGACAAACCTACCCTGCCCTAATCACTTTCCTCGCCTCCGACAACCAAATTGATAGCTTAGAGTTCGAAGCTGTGCGCGGCTTACAGGTCCTAGACGTGAGTAATAATAGCATAGCGTCTTTGCCGCCTAGATTGGGATTGTTGGGGAGCGAGGGGTCTACAGCGTCGGCAGCTACAGCAGGAAATAGCAAGGGTGGTGGAGGTGCTACAGGGGGAACAACGTGTTTGCGCCGTTTGGATGTCGCAGGGAATTGTTTCCGTGTCCCGCGCTGGCAGGTTGTGTCGAAGGGGACGGAGGCGGTGTTGGAGTGGCTGAAGAACCGGATTACGGCGGAGGAGTTGAGGGAGTGGGGTGCTTTGGAAGAGGATGAGGATGGTGTTGTTGATTGAGGGGATTTTATTTACTTAGAGCCAGGAGAAGAAACAGGGAATTCTGCCTGGAGACCCTGCGGGCTTGTACCATCACCATCTTATATTTACTTACACTGTTCATGTAATATTTTCTTTTTGGATTTTTCATATTTTTTTCCAATTATTTCATTTTTCTTAATTTGCCTGTCCACGTCCTCCTGTGTCTCCGTCTGTCTGCTCCTCTTGCGTTTACCTGTCACAGGTGCTTTTTTTCTCCTCTGTATTATCTTTTCACTCTCGGCCCTTTACTTCATAATTTTTATTGCTCGGGCCGAAATCTTCGTCTGACGCTGCCCATGAGAAACTCCGTCGTGAAATCTTCCCAAGCGTGGAGCGATTATATTTTTCCCATATCTCCTATTTCATTTACTTGTTTCCATGCATCTTTCTTGTCCTATTTTTCGTCGATCTACTTTGTATATATCCAGCAACAGCTTAGATTTCTTCCTCTTTTGGGTGCTTTTTTTTTTCCTTCTTCATTCGTTTTGCATTTTTTTTTTTTTTTTTTTTTTTGCCTTTTCCTTTCTGCACGTCCCTTTCTCTTTGAATCGGCATTTTCCCCCTGAATCGACTAACTTTGCTCCATTCTTCCTTTTCGTTTTCGTTTCTCTGTTTACTCATATATATAATCCCGTGTCCTCCATATGCCTGTGTATATAAAAGGTACAAACCAGATGAAAATAATCAGATTAAATAGAATTCTTATGTGTAAATAAACTGAACAGATATTGTTTCATGTACTCTCTGGTTAATGAGACCAAAATCGCCATGCCCACGTGTTTTTCTCGTAGAACTTAACCACATAGCTACCTGGGTATATAAATAATATAATCTGCAGCGAAATCCATCCCAATTTTCAAGGGTAAGACATCTACAATAACCCCAACGAAATATAAAGTATCTATCACCTACATTTACCCAATCTTCTTCCCACAGGGGCATCCATGCGTTCATGGACGACGGCCGCCGCAGCAATAATCTCTATGACCCCTCCGCCTTCGACCTCGTAATCCCGTCAATAACCCTCATCCACGTGTCTGCCCATTTCGGAAACTTGTCCTCCTCACCCGCAATCTCCGTTTCGCCATTGACACTCTCAATGAACGGCGACCGTGCCACCTCCGCCGCTGAAAAGGCACATTTGCAGAGTTGCTTGGTATACATGGTCACATTGTCGATGTCGTGATCATACAGAGAGCCAGCGACCTCGTCGACGAGATTGGGCAGTTCCTTTAAACGCTGGAGAAGGAGGTTGACTTGGGAGATTTGAGCTGAGGAGAGGGTGGAGTTTGGTTGGTAGTTCTGTTTTCGGTCATTAGATGTTGAGGAAGACGAGGAGGTTTTCGATTTTAGACGGTGGGATATTATGGCTGGATATATCTGGGCGATTGGGTTGAGGAGACGGAGGAGATTTGATTTTTCAGACTGGAGGTTTGCGATGGAGCTGGTGGTTTCTTCGTCATCGTTACTTTCGTCGCTAGCTTTGTCCTTTTCCTTCTTCTCCTTCGCCTTACCCCCAAGCTCATCACCGTCATCCCAAAAGAGACCATCTTCGTCATCATCCTCCTCCTCTTCCGGGTCCCACTCTTCCAGCTCCCTTATCCCATCCTTAACTAGCTCAAGATACTGCCTCGCCTTCCCCGCCACAAACCCCACAACCCCACCCTCCGCAAACGACACCAACTGCTCACACGTCTTCCACAACCGCCCAGTACACGACATGACTTCCCCCTTCTGCTGCTCCGTCACCGTCACTTCCTTCCCCTCATCACCACTCCCACCGCTATCCGCAATCACCTTGACAACCCCAACCAAATTTCCAAACTCCTTCAACGCATCTTTAACTAGCAATTTCGCCTCAGCGTGGAATGCCTGTGTGTATTCTGTCGGTACCGCGAGAAGGGCAGCTGTGACAAGGGAAGGGAGTATGGATTCGTTTACGGTTGAGAGAACAGTTATAAGCGCTGAGGGAGTGAAAGGGGTATTTACGGCTAGGAGAGATAGTTTTGTTGTTTGAGCTTTCAGGGCTGCGGCGGAGGCGGAGAGGAGAGGGAGGGGCAGCGGGGCGGGGTTGTTGCTGTTGACGTTGCTGGGCTGGGATTCCGATTGGGGTAGTGGGATTGAGAGTGTTGAATGGAATTGGTCAGTGATAATGAGGGTTGCTTCCAGGATACCGGAAAGGGTTGGAGGCATTTTTTCACGTTTGTCTGTGTTTGCGGTGCTGGCTGAGGAGAGTAAACAAAAGGAGGAGAATTTTATTTTCGTCCTCTTCGTTATCGAGTTATAATAGTGTAGTTTATCTCAGCAAGCTCAGACGCTTCTCCAGATATTCATTGCTGTTTTAACACTGGATTGATGATTATAAGCTAACCCAAATAGTAAAATCAGGTCATGTGAGTGATGATATCTTGCGAAGCGTCTGAGAAGAAACAGTTCCTGATTGTTAGCAACACAGGAAGAATTTACTCAGTACCCTGAGTATGGAAGAGAATTCCAACTCAACTTCATAGATTCATCATTTCTGTATCACCTTGAAACCTTAGAATAACAATGTTCTCATGATGTATCTGATTTTTATATTCATATCTCAAGTTCTTAGAATAGAAGTATCACCTCAAAGTTGACCAGTGTGTTTTTGAACACAGGAATTTTGATCCAATTCCTCATACAAAAAAAAGCTCTTAGAAATTCTGAGATCAAAAAATATGATCATTTTCAAGAGTATACATCTATCTTAAATATAGATTTTTTTGAAATATTAAAGAAATATTTCTATTCTTCTTCTCTTTAGCTATAAGCTAAGGTGATTTTCAAATCTCAAAGATATGTGAGTATATAGTAATAGAAAGTCAAAGTTGAAGAATCTGAAAAATCCTTGTAAATCTCAGGAATCTCCATTGAAGATGAAACCATTTCTTCTCAGACCCTCTGGCGAGGATTGCTCTGAGCACATGACTTGTATCAAAAGTAGGTTAGTGTCATGCCGGATTAACTAGTTAATAATAATGCTGCAACCCGTTCAAACCGAGCCAGAGGGTCTGAGCCCGCTGAGATAAAGTGTAGTGACAATACAAACATGTGAAGCAAGGGGAGGTCACGTGGGCATGTGGGCCCTAATTAATTAATCCCCCTTGTCTGGCAAAATGTACATACATTGTGCATGTACATTACATGTACTAGGAATATGGTTTCTACGACTCGGTATGGGGAATGCTCGTGGATTCGGATATGTATTGATTAGTTCTGTTTATAATTAAGTGTTGTGGGAGTATAACTGCTTGAGACTTCTTCTACATTGATCCTGCGATCTTGGAGAACATCACAAAGATAACATTATTGCTTCAACAACTCCATTACACAATAAATAGATGAAACAGCATCAAATGTGCAAAGGAGTGAACATATTTGTCTACTGGTATGTATATGCCATTTATAAAGTAGTAGTCCTGATGTTAGTGGTGATACATGTCTAGCAGGATGCTCATATCAAAGACTGCAGAATGATAAAACAACCACTGTTTGTATTGTTGTTGATTTTTTAAAACTATTTTTTTATGACAATAACCTTGCAGACTTCAGGCATACTACGTATGACATCGGCCATATCATTGTTATATCAGTATAAACCCCACTATCAAAAACTTGCTTCTTGACGCACATTCATGGAGATATAATTAATGGAAAGCTCAGTTTTACTAACTAGCCTTGAACTGGCAAGACTCTCAGGAAATAAGGTTGGTCCCGTCACGCTAGACAGATCGCTTAACTTACAAGGCTATGAGTTCGAGCGCGCGACCTGGAGACAGTAATAAGTTACCTCTGTCCACGGCGTCATGGGGGATTGCAAATACGTCTCCAAGATCTGATTGAAGAGTGCTTTTTCTGATCGCAAAACTTACCGAAAAAAAAAAGAAAAGAAAAGAAAGAGAGAGAGAGAGTGAGTGAGTGAGTGAGATGACAAGGGCCTAGTCGGTAAGGTGGTATCGAGCTCCAAATTGTTTCTTCTTGAATATCAAAGAATCTATCACGGATTCGGCAAATCCATGCGAGTGGTCAGTCATATCAAAATGCCGCTACAATAATTCAGGAGAAAGGCACATCCACTCATAGATCTAGTAAGTTTCCTCTTATGCAAGCTCTCCGTTTCGTTAACCGGGATCTAAATGAACTTCGGGAGAAATGTCCTTTTTGCGGGGCCAGTGTTCAAGCCCATTTATTATTGTAATGTACAGCAAGAAACTAACCCCAATAAACTACAGCCAGATGGGACGGGACGCGGAGCTCAACACAAATACCTCGACTTGTGCTTGTGTTCCCACTCCATAACTGAAAATTTGCGGTGGTTCTGTTTCTCCTGAATACTTGATCGATCTTCTTCTTTAACACTATTTGCCTATCTTTCCAGTCGAGTTACGGTGGCCAAGATGGACGCCGACCGCCTAGTATGTGATAGAAATGACGCTCTTTTTATCGGCTGACATATGGTTTTGCAAATGCATGTGCCGTAGCAACTAGTCTATAGGATAGCAACGAAGCACTGCAATCAATCTACAATCGAGACCAACGATTTCTCGAATGGCTCCTACAACCGATGCTTCAGAGTCAAATTAGAACATGGGTGGGCCCGATGTTATTGTTCGCATCCACATGCTGGGGAAGTCTTTTCTTCGTCGGGAAAAGGTCCACGGTGAGGTCGAGCTATGACATGCGTTGCTGCCAACCAGCCATCGATTCCTGTTCCGAAAATTCTGGGAACGGGCGCCTCTAACATAGGACCCTACGTGGTTATGAAGTTTGTAGAGGACAAACTGTTAGTGGATTATCTCATGGCAAGCCCGCAGAAGAAAATAAACCAGCCATGTTGAGAAACGACCTGGAGATGTCCACTCTCAAAAAGACGTATCGTGAGATGGCTCGGATTGTTCTCGCCAGGTATAATTGAAGTTCCCCCACATAGGAGCCCTGCAGCAGAAGTCAAAGTCAGAAGAAACAACCTGGTCGGTCGCTACACGGGCACGTATGAATGAGCTCATCGGGCTTGCAAATTTTCCCCTTAAGACTTCCATAAACAACGATTCTCCACCACGTCAGAATATTTCATTATATCATCTGAAACATCTCAAAACGCAACGCAACGATGCAGTCATTGACGAAGCTGACTGCAAGAAAAATACGTTGCACAATGTTTGTTTCGGAAGATTGCACGCGAATACCGCTCACCATCTGACAAAGGGCCCTTCCCTCTGTTCTACGATGATTCCCGCACTTTCAATGTGATAGTTGACGAGGATCTCAATATTAAGGGAGAAATTGACTGGTAGCTCCGCTACGCGGCATCCGCCGAGTTTGCGCACTGCCCCCCCTGGTGGTTGTTACTGGCACATCCAGAAGATTGCCCGGCCGGTTTGGCGACTTGTGGTTAACTTCTTGCCTCAATATGAAATCTTCTTGGACGCACTCCGCGAGTGTGAACAGTAACAGATGGCTAATACTCAAGCGCCTAAGGCCGAAAACCTTTAGTCAGAACATATGAAGGAGTCCTTTGAGACTGGACTCTTCTGGTTCTGTCATATCACTCGATCCAGTTTCGGGTTTCATGACCTCTATTGGAACTTTATTGGCGAACGACACTTTGAAAAGTTAGCACTCTAGAGGAAAGTATGGAGCTGTTAACCGAGGCGGAAAGAAATAATCAAGAACCATTAATCCAACTAAAGTTGGAGCAAAAAAAGAAGAAAAGTGTGAGGAGCATCTGACCGTTGAACAGCTTCTCGAAGGATGAAACAACGTTTGGCGAGGAGGGATAATTCACCGTCTCTATCTTGAGGAGTTGTGTTTTAATTAACTATCTAGACCACCAGGCTAGACTGAGACGCGATTTCCGTTTGGTAATATACAATATAAGTTTGGATTTGATCCAAAGTCCCATGGGCTCTGAACCAATGCTTTCAATATCGCATGTGCCTCATCTTCCACTCGTAGATGCGTTCCCTCACCTAACCGCGCAGCTATTTACTCGCCATGATTGAGGGGAACAAACCTATCATACTTCCCATGCCACAGCTGTACAGGTAAGTCGAGGCAGATATCCTCTATTCGAAAGCCAAAGTCAGATGCCACCAACCTGTCATCCTGAGTAACCCCATCAAACCCCTGAGCATAATCTTCCTGTGCTGATCATAAATACAGATGGAGAAAATACACATCCTTAAAAACTTTAAGGTCACTTTCATGGGCTGTAGCCTCAGCTTTAGCCACAAGCTGCTGCGTGAGCTGAAGACACTTCTCACCACTCAGGTCTAGCTGTGCTGCTGGTTCGTGATGGAAAACCACTGGATAAAAATCAGTCAGGCAGAGCACCAACCAAAAGTGAATCCAAGCCAGTGGACAAAATCAGCCCCTTTCATGCTGATGTAAGGCGGGCGGCCCTAGACTGCAGACAATTGAAACGCACTTGAGTTTTTCGCGGGGTAAGGCCATTGCGCAAGCAAGGGCGTATGGCCCACCTCCTGATATCCTCTGTTAATACATTAGAGTTAGTTTTAAAGAAATAAAATTTAAGTAAATTAAAACAAATATTTTGACTATTTCGTAAAAACAAAATGTTTCCTTGTACTAATACACAATACTCATCCAGCCCGAGATGCTCTGCAAGGCATTCCAAGTCTTTTGGATGATTGAGAAGTGTTCGATCTGGGTGGGGTGAACTCCAACCACAACCAGGCTGTCTATGGCGATGATACGGACTGCATATTTTTCACCCAGTTCATCAAAAACAGCAGCCTCAATGCGAGAGCCTGGAAGGCCGTGTTGGTAAAGTATAGGCCGCCATGTCAGGGAGCCATATTGGGCGTAACCTAGTTTTCGGGCATCTGGGAGGGTCAGGGTGTCTGAACTGTTGTTGGTCCAAGTGGAATTGTGGTTTGGGAACTTCGTCCTTGAGAGCCTCCTGAGAGCAATTGTCTGAGCTATCAGTCATTGTTGTTGCTGTTGTTGTACAGTACATGTACTGTAGTTACTTGTAGAGTCCACAGATGGCCTGAGAAGGTACGCTGCTAAGTCTGATATTGGAGACATGGGAAAGCGGAAGAAGTTGTGTCGGAGCGGGGGCATGTTAACGATGTGCTCGTCAAAATGTATCTAACCATTCTGGGAATCCTAGCCAAAACAGGAGCTATTTATCATATTCATGCTGAACTGTTGAAACCGCCTGGACTGACTCGTGCGGAAAAGCTGGTTTAGAATTAACTAGGGTGGCTGCGGCTGATATCATTGAGATTGATAGCATTTAAAGATGAAAGTTTCATCCTTCAGTGCTTTGGTGACATCACTAGGTAGGTGTTCAGCGACAAAATTGTAACTCCAGCACGGCAGTTAAACAACAGAAAGCGCTGGAAAAGAATGAAGGTGGCAGAACATCACTTGTAATATCCGGACTCTCTTGTATATCTGCGGGATATGGTTTTAGGGTTAGGGCTAAGCTATCCGGAAAGAGTCCCGCCAAGACAATCCCAGCTCCAGTCCAGATCTTGTAAGTTATTATTAGTTTATTCCAACCGGCGAAGCTTGTCATTCCAAGGCCAATGAGCGGCACCTTTAGAGCTGCCAGCGGGTGGTAATGATATGTTAACCAAACATTTACCATCACTCCACATACTATAGGGAGTAGCATGGGAGCAGCAAAGCCCTCACGCGCGGCGAAACGCGCTCCCTCACCGCCGCCCTTACCCTCGAAAACATTCATCATCGACAATGGCGCATATACCATGAAAGCTGGCTATGCGCCTGACCAACCGAGCGCTGAACCTCCCCTAAACTCATGTCTGGTGATCCCCAATGCACTGGCTAGAACGCGCGACAAACGCGTCTACATCGGCGCCCAGCTGTCAACGCATATTTCGGACTGGAATGAGGCCACATTTCGTCGCCCTGTCGAGAAAGGTTATGTGGTTAGCTGGGAAGCGGAGAAGGAAATCTGGGACCATACTTTTTTTGATGACGGGACGGCGCGGAAACCGGAGTTGCGATGTGCAGATCCGGAGAATACGACTTTGATTTTTACGGAGGCCCCGAATGCGATGGCTGCGTTGCAGAAGAATGCGGATGAGATTATTATGGAGGAGTGGGGATTTGGAGGATATTTGAGATGCATTGGTGGGTAGCTCTTCCATTTTTACGCCCGTGATATTTGTTTGCCAATTGCTAAAGATGGGTTGCTTGCTACAGGACCAACGCTCAATGCTTGGAATGAACTCCATGCTCTATTCGGCGACCCGGTGACCTCAGACCCAAACTCCACTATTTTTCCCGTTGAATGTCTTCTAGTTATTGATTCCGGATATTCGCATACGACTGTCACTCCTGTCTACAAAGGATACCCACTGCAACGAGGCATCAGACGATTAGAGATTGGCGGGAAATATCTTACGAATTTCCTCAAGGAGCTCGTGTCCATTCGACAGTACAACATGCTCGATGAGACGCACATAATAAACGAGGTCAAGGAAGCCGCCTGTTTTGTCAGCAACGATTTCGCTGCAGACATCGAACGAACCTGGAAAGGGAACCGAAAGCGAAAAGCCGATGATCATGAGACTGGCGCGGGAGAAGGGATCGTTGTAGACTACGTTCTTCCTGACCCAAATGCCCACAAGAAAGGTTTCGTACGCCCACATGAGAGCCTTACAGCGGCCAAGAAGAAGAAAGAACTTCTCTCCGGCGCTTCGGGTACAATGGCGGAAGATGTCTTGGTGCTTGGAAACGAGCGGTTCACTGTCCCCGAAATACTATTCAATCCTGGAGACATTGGGATGAAACAGATGGGGATTCCTGAAATTGTAATGCAGTCACTATCCGTGCTTCCAACCGGTCTACATCCTGCATTTTGGGCAAACATTATGGTGGTTGGCGGCAATTCATTGATTCCGGGCTTTATGGAACGACTGTAAGTTGCGAGACTGGTTGAGATCGCCATTATATATTGGATATAAAAAAAAAAAAAAAAGAAAAAGTGTTTATCGGGCGCTAACATATATATCTTCGCAGAGAAACTGAGCTCCGCAAACTTGCCTCAGCCGAATGTGTCGTGCGCGTCAAGCGGCCAGATGAGTAAGTTATAACCTCAATATATTCTTCCCGCACCAAGATTTTAGTTAGCTACATTTTCGCTGGAGACGATAATCATGTATTCTATATTCTTTTTACTAACATGCAATGATAACTTTAGCGCCATACGTTCTACTTGGCTGGGGGCGGCTAGATTTGCAAGCAACAGGGAGGCATTAAAAGAAGTTGCTATTACCCGCCAACAATACCAGGAATACGGCTCAGCCTGGGCGGGAAGGAGGTTTTCCGGAACCTAAGCCGCATGCTGGTGCACAAGCAGGAATTATATACGGGCGGGCGTTTTGTTTGTAGCGCTTCTTGGCCAATTATGAGCGGCTCAGGCCTTGTGTGAGGTGTTGGCGTGAAGTAAATGTACCATGCCCACTACTCAGGAAATGGGTGAATTGCTCCTATTTGATCCCCGCGATATGCACTGCAATTGGAGGGGACATCGACTTCGCCTGGGCTGCGAGTGATAGGCAGTGCGCCCACCTCCGGATAGACACCAGGGTCACCACGTCGAAAATCTGATGATATTTGCGCGCTCGGATTTTCTCTACCAGAGAACCTCCAGTGCTTCTCTGGACACTGGAGAAGGCGTTGTGTCCTTTGAAACCACCCACCAATTGTTTGGTGATGGTGTTGGATCGAGATAATCCCGGCTATGGTAGATGTCATCAATATCTTGTAAGCTAGGGGCCATATCCATTGAGAGAGAGAGAGCTCATCCCTAGAACCAAGGAGGGATAAAGGGAAGCTCCTGATTGATCGCATGATCTCTAATATGCCAGCGGCAGTTGCGCGAGTCTAGTCAGTGAAGCAGCGTTTATTATCATGAATGGGATTTCTTTTCCTTCCCGTTTAAGCTCGCAGGATGTGGGATTTCGAGGCGGACATGGCGTTCTAGTCTTTAAATTTGTGAGACTTCTCTCGAGTGCCTAGGGGAGATTTTACACTATCTAGAAGATTACCTTTGAAGATAATTGTGGCGGGTGGATTCAGATAGATGAATATCAAGCACATTCGATACTTTTTTTTTGGTTCTCCAATTATTTCCCTGTGATGGTAGCCGCCGCATTTATCTACTTCCTATTACCCGGTCAAGTACATGTACATACATTTTGGGTGATAAACAAGTGGGCAAGTAAGTTTCTCGTATACCTTGCCTGGCTCTATTTCTATTCTTTTTTATTTCTAATCGTCTACGCAAGGGGTGAGGCTCGACTCCTCTGCTGGACGGGTCTAAGCCAACCAAGCAGTCACATCATGCGAGTAAACGTCAAGCCATTATCCCAACAACCGACTCTGCCTTTCCAAAAACAACACTTTTGCCCGATCCTCCTCGAAAGTCAATCGCTTTTCTGCCATGACAATCTCCAACTCAATCGGTCCCTCTCGCAAAATCCACTTCTCATTACGACTTTCGCCAGCATCGTCAGCATCTCCCTGTGACTGCGGTGCTAACACCTGTTCATACCACAGATGTTGACCATAGGACTTTCGAAGCGTCTGCACCATCATCACTTCTACAGAACACCAGGCGCGGTGGTGGTAAAGGTCATCGAAGAGGCTGATTACGGCGTCACATTGGACGAGAATCATTGGTAAGGCGGAGACCCCCGGCGCAGGGTTTTCTTGGTCGATGCAGGCGTGGTCCTGCACAGGGGAGAGGGAAGCAAAGAGTTAGAGAGGGTGAATAATTGAAGGAAGATGTGATGACGGATTGGGTTGACTTACTACCCAGATCCCCAATTTCTCCATTTCCACCGAGGGATGGAGTTTGAGAAACTGCTCGGCTGCGGCTATCATTCGACGATATTGCATGTTATCGATGTCGTCTGGTGAAGAAGCGTTTGGTTCCCTATTGATCCATCTGTATGAGAAGAAAATGACAAAGTCCGCTGTACCGATTCGATCATTCCCATTAGGTCTTGACATGAACTCCCGCGCCAATTTGTCGCTTGATCGAGGGAGTTTTCCAAACTTTAAAAAGTCCAGGAATCTCATGAATTTGAGACCATCGAACATTCGTCGTTTCTCATCGTCAGCTGCGAGCTCGTTCGCGTACATATGCCGTAATGACTGCAAACCTCCGCCGCTGAGGAGCGCAGGCCGCATCTTTTCTTGAAATAACTCCCGGTAACCTTTCCGAATCCTCGCCTCCACCTGGAGCTCGTTAAGTTCGTTTTCTACGTCTCCTTCGAGCTTCCGGCGAAGCCCTTCCAGTACCAAAGCTTCAGTTTCTACATCGCCGTTGAAAACGGCGTAATCCAATGCTGTATATCCCTGTTCGTCGACCAAGTCCATGTCCGCACCCACGTCAACCAGTTCTCGTAAATATTGACGGTGCTCTTCGGAGGGCTCTTTGCACAGTGCCATAGCAGGTGTGCACGTCATCCATGGATTAAACTGCTTCAGAGCTTCGTCAAGTTGTTGATCTAGAAGCAACGCCCGGCCATAGAAAAAACGAGACATGGCGACCACCGTTGAATCTTCTGAGCGGCTGCTGAGGTTTAATGACTCTAATGATGTCGCAATGGCCTGTTTGGCATCTCTTTTCGCCGCATAGCAGAGTGAAAGGCGAGATAGGCCGATTGACTCCCAAGTCGTTGCAATTTTTGACAACTCCAATTTTATGTTCAGGTCAAATGATTGAGACTGGATGGTTTCTTTGATATGCCGAGCACTGCGGACGCGCTCATTAAGCTGAGCGATGGCCATCTCTAACAGTGCTTCGTCACCGTTCTGCTGGGAAAGTTGGTAATTGATCATACCTAAATTCCCGACCGCACGACACATCGCATGATCAAACTGCAGCTGCTTTGCTGTGTCATATTGAACCTGGAATGCATGCCTCGCTTCCTCAAGACGATTCATATGCCGATATATCACGCCTAGCTCACCACTGAACTCTACGCGCTGGAGGCTAGATCCCATTTCTTCAACCGCCTGTTCCAGCATTTCCTTGGCCTTCTCATACCTCCCAAACCGCCTGTTGGTGTTCCCAAGCTCCCCTAGTACTAGATGCCGATAAGATGCCAAGCCTGAAAAGTATTCTGTAGATTGGCACATGTTAAGAGCGCTGTTAAACTCCCGTAGCGCGTGCTCCCACTCAGCACGCCGTGCATGTTGTCGCCCCTGATCCATGAACATCTCCCATTCGCGGACAGCATTAACCATGTTTGCAAGAGCGGTCGAAGTAACACCAGAGGCATCACGCAACTGGGTCTTTGATTCGACATCCTTGGGACCCAGCACCCGAGCATCTTTCATGAATCCACGGTGAGAATCGAAGAAAAAAAGTGTAGCATGGAATGCGTCAGGCAATACTTCTGTGCTGTGAAATGCGGCTTCTGGAATAGTGTACGTCGCGTCACGGTGGTGAACTGCCACTTCCTTTGGCGAGGCATGCATCAACACTCGTGTGTTCGTAATGGTGGATGATGCCTGATGTGTTTTATATGCTCTGTCCGTATTCCTCCCGTCATTCCAGGAGAGTTCATACGCTGCGTGGGTGCCCTCCGCAGAAGTTGCAACTGGTTTGACATTGTATGAATGATTCTTTCCCTCACCAGCTAGTATCCAGCTCTGGGCGAAAGGCTGGTGAGAATGGATTGCAAATTCGGGATCTCCACGTTGCCCATCCGGCAGCCATACGTGGAGCCGAAACAGCTCAACAATGTGTCCTTCCTCCACCAAGCTGCAGAGCGGAACGGCCAGGAAACCCTGTGCGCTCCTCGATACGCTACCCAGAGGCCGGGCGAGGAGTGGACTAGTAAGCGCTCCATGAATCAGATCCCATGCCAGCGCTAGATCGATGAGGGGAACCTCCCCCCTGGCTCGTCGAGACTTTTCACGTAGAAATGTGACGCCGAGAGTTAAGTTGGCTATGTGTAGCAGCTCGTCCTCTTTTAGGAAATTGGTAACAATGCCCTCATTCCAATCGCCAAAGGAAAGAGAATCTGTCGGGTTGTCTTTTTGAGTTCCGTATAATGAAATCCACTGGGCAATTGGGTCAACGTTGACTGCAGGTGTCTTTGTCGCCACTGCCACCCCTTGAAGCACTCGCAAGAGCTCTGAGCTCGGAATGTAGAAGCTATCGTCGTCAAAACTGAGGTAGTCATCAGTATTAACGCTTGCTGCGCGAGTGGAACCATCACCATTGGCAGAGGGAAGCAGCATAGGCTGGGCTCCGTCCTCTATTTTTTTGGTCATCCCAACTCAAGAAGAGGAGGTTATCGGTACAGCAAACAAATGACAGGGAGAGAGTTATGTCACACTTGTATATCCACTAGATATGGATATAAGTGCTAGAATTTCATTTTGATTTACGGATAGTTAGCCGCTTCAGCTGCCTGCAGGAAACCTTGGTCTGAAGGACAGCCTTGCCTGCCCCAGCAAGCTGATCATTGGTCAGCGTATAAATAATACTATCATTATGTAGGATAGTTGAAGGTTGTATTGATAGATCTATCTACAGGAACATATTATAGTGGTGGGTCACGTGATCTAGTGGGATCGCTAACCGCAACGGCCGTAAGGGCCAACACCCCCCCTCGAGATAACAAGAATCACATACAAAAACACCCAAACCACCAAGATAGTCTGTCAAAACCAAATACAAATGTAAAATTAAACATTCCCAACTTTTATGCCTGTAAGACCTAGCAAAACCATGAATCGCGCAAATGCCACATTGCCTAGGGGTTTAGTGAGTCCATCCGCCGCCATCTGAGCGGTGGGAACGTATTCTAAATCAATGACCCCCTGATTCAACTGCCAACGCGAAAAATGGAAACGCGTGTCAATGTGTTTGCTTCGGGCCGTAATGGCTGCCACCTTTGTGAGATCTATGGCACCCTTATTATCGGCGAGGATCCGTATCGGAGATGTAGTGATGAAGCCAAGCTCAATCATGAGGTTCCGGATCCATGTTGCCTCGCGGACCGCCTCACTAAGAGCCACATATTCGGCCTCATTGGAACTTAGAGATACACAAGGTTGCTTCGCCGAACGCCATGAAATCGGGCCGCCTGCGAGCTTAAAAACGTAGCCGGATGTTGATTTCCTATCACCATTCAAGGGGCCGGCCCAATCGGAATCCGAGTAGCCGAAGGGTAGGTAGGAATCATCGGGGAAATCAGGGGTAATGGAAAGATCGGTAGGAACGGACCCCTCATACGGGCCGCGTCCGTAGAAAATGCCCAGATCCATGGTCCCTTTCAAATAACGTATGACGTGTAATAGGGCCTTCCAACATTGAGGTGTTGGATCAACGTTCCGTTGAGCGAGTAGTGAGGCAGCGCGAGCGATATCAGGACGTGTTTTGACTGCGAGATATTGCAAGCAACCCACACCATGTTGGTATCGCTGAATTGTGAAACCAGCCTCTTTCTCAGGTATAGGGGAATCGTCAATGCGAAATCCATCCTCCATAGGTGTCCTGGCGACAGCTGCATCATCAAGGTAGAAATCTTCAACAAGGCACTTGATATATTGACAATGTGTCAAACCAATTCCCTTGTCTGAACAATTGACCTCCATACCCAAATACTTGGTTGGCTGGCGTAGATCCTTGACTTCCAATTTCTCACTGAGCATACTCACTAGCCAATCAGCATTCTCAGGAGCTTCGGATATGATGTTGAGATCGTCAACGTAGATCGTCATATAGAGGTGACGTCTGGATGTATGATACCAGAGTGCCGGATCATGGGCGCTGACTGTAAATCCAAGATCGCTCAACAGAGCTGTCAAGTAATCATACCAGATCTTCGCCGCAGGGTCCAGGCCGTATAAACTACCCTCAACCGCGCAGACAAGCGTTTTCGGCGAACCTGCCTCAAATCCGGTGGGTTGCCTCATATAGACCTTCTTAGTGAGGCGCCCATGAAGATATGCCATCACTATATCCACTTGACGGAGTGTCCAACCGCGTAGTGCTGCTATTGCAAAAAGAATACGATTAGCAGTATCAGTGATGACAGGAGCGTAGGTCTCTTCTCTAGAACCCTTCTTAAGCCAGTTACCACAAATCACCCAACGCGATTTTCTAAGAATACCATCAGGATCGGCATTCGGGTCCGCGGGCCTATCTTTCTCAAGGAACACCCAACGGCCCGGAGCAATCGGTTCACCCCTCGGGACGTCAGATCTAGGGATCAAACTCCATGTATTGCGTCTCTCCAGGTCGGTAATCTCGCGTTGCATGGACTTCTTCCAATAATCTCCTACCCCCCCTGGCCGAGATGTGGCATCCTTGTAGGACTTCGGGAGGTTGCCTGTAATGGGGCTTGGAGTGTAAGTAGCCAGCGATTTCGCGGGCCGCAACCATGTAGAATTCGGATCATCAATGTCGGGAGCATCTTCATCATCAACCAGATGAATATCAGGTTCCGGTTCGCCGGCATTATTAATGGGTGCCACAGATGTGACAACCGGTTTTTCGGCGATCGGGAACCTCACATCACTACTGGCAATAATCTTGTCAGATTCGGGATGCCATAGGCGATATATCGATGTGCCACTGAATCCAATGATACGATAGGAATCGGCACGTGGAGAAAGCTTATCCGCGGGCCGCTGGGATCCATGCAAGTGAACAAAAACCTCTGCACCCAATCGGCGAAAATGCCTTACATTCGGCGGGGTATTCGTAAGTGCACACCAAGGAATCTTATGTGGACTTGGAACCACAGGGATCTCTGCAGTAGAGGGCCAAAATTTCGAGTTGTAAAGGACTGTAGATGTGGGAGTATTATTGGTTATTGCAACCACTGTCTCTAGAACATCTGCCCAGAACTTCTTAGGAAGATTACCTTTCAAAAGAGCAGCTCTAACCCGTCCCATGATAGTGCGGATTCCACGTTCGGAAACACCATCCTGATGTGGCGAATGTGGTGCCGTTGGTTCCCATTTGATACCATATGAATCCATAACTGTGTGCATACGTGTGGATCGGAAAACACCATCAATATCGGTCCGTAGAAAAGCAGGGGCTGTATACCCGAGATTACCCATGAATCTGAGCCACAACTCAAAGTATTGAACAGCTTCATCCTTGGACTTCAAAAAATATACCCAACGGTAGCGAGTTGCATCACAGGTGATGAGCATCCAGTATTTGGTCCCCTGGCGGGACTCTAAGGGGTGGTCAGAGAGGTCTTCCAATGTACGTCCGCCACCTGCAAGGTCAATATGGACCTTCTCAATGGGTCGGATAGATCTAGGCATCGGTGTTTTCGAATAATCTCGCGTCATACCAGCCTTGACACATTCCTCGCAAAAGAACTTAGTCTTAGGACCCTTAATTGTGACTCCAGTATGGGGATCCTTGGCCATAGCAATTATAGCACCAGCGTGGATGTGACCGAGGTCGTAATGCCAATCCAAAAGAGTCTTTGATATCTTTGATGTCTGTGTCTTGAGACCTGTATTCGTGTCCGCAGAATCGACATTATTAACAGTAGTGGCAGCAGCCACAGGAAAATCAACTTTTCGATCAAAATCGTACTCGTGGGGCATCATCGCAATATACTTGACTGCCCTGTTCGGATGATTGGGATCCTCATTGGACTCCCGTTCGTCGACCTTATATATGTTGTTCTGAGCGGTCCGGACTGCATGGAAAATAACACCGTTCGGGGCTCTGCAAATGAAAAAAGAGGGAATAGTGGAAGACAATGTAAATCGGAATCCCTGATCTTCAAGCTTCGCAAATGAGAGCAGGTTAACTGTAATATTAGGAATATAGTGAACATCCTGCAAGTTAACATCACCACCCTCAACCTCCAAGGTGACAGTCCCAATCTTCTTAACAAACCCAGTTCCCCCAGTGGCAGAATCGACAGAGATGTTACCATTAAAAGGTTTGATGTTTGAGAAAGAATGAAGCTCACCCGTCATATTCAGGCTTGCACATGTGTCCAAATACCAAGATCTAGAGGATGGTTTTCCAGTGACTGTGGAAGAGGAATAGGACTCAACCTTCGTAATTGCTGCATTTGCTGCTGGTTGAGAACTCATCAAGTCATCCTTCTTCTCTTCCTTCTTGTCATCCTTCTTGTCATCCTTCTTTCTCTTTTTATCAGGGTGTAAGATGAAACACCTGTCAACAGTATGTCCATATCTTCTGCAGTGGGTGCACTTCCATACAGGTGTGCTTTTGTCCTCATCTTTGTCCTTATCTTTGTCCTTGTCCTTTTTCGCAGTCACAGAATCAGCCTGAGGCTGCTTTTTCCGCTCGGTGGTGATCTTCTTGGATGTACGATTGGTCAGTTGCTTCATCAAATCATCAATATCAATGTTGATAATGGGTCCCTGGCCAGTGGAGAAAAACTCATCCAAACGTGTCTTGACAAACGGTCTTTGATAATCTTGTAGATTGTTGAGGAAGAGATCATGGTATATATCCTCAGTGCTCTGACAGAGCTCCTTGTGACGGGCAACAAGATAGCGGAAACGTCTCTGGAAAGTAAGATAATCATTCTCCTTGACTTGTAATTTTGTCAATTCCTTGAAGACATTAACTCGTTCCTCTGCCAGTGATATCGCATATTCCACATTGATCTTGTCCCACAGGGCCGCAGCATTGTCAGCTTCCAAGGTTCCAATAGTAGTTCGAACGTTTCCAACAAGACTCGATAGCATACGCCTATATAGAGACTTGGAACGGATCCTCCACTTCTCGGAGTCGATATGACGTGTAAAAGGGGATTCTCGTTGGGTCCTCAATAGGATGTCGGTTCCGCCAATAACTTCCGCATCAGCCAACATACCGACACGCCAGGCTTCATAATTAGAGCCATCAAATGTGGTCACTGATTTGGTGTCTAGTGCATATTTGACTTCCTTCTGGTATTCCCGCAACTCATCCCTCGTGGTGTCTCTTTGTGCAGGTGTAGTGAGATGTTGAGTGGTTTCAGCCGCAGCCATCTGGTTCCGTAGCATCATCTGCATAAGATCCATAAGATTGCCTGCGGTGCAATAGATAGGTTGATTCGGATCACCATTAAAAGTCGGCATTCCGGGGGTGGGGGACGGTGGAGGATTCGATGGGTTGGAATGAACAGATTCTGCAGATGGATGTTGGGGTTGACTCTGCTTTCCTTTGTCCTGAAGTTCCTCCGTTGTCTCATCATCAAATTCCATACTCTGGCGAAAACTGACCTCAGCCTCATCTTGCAAGTCAGGAGCTTCCTCATAATGAGTGGTCATCCTATCAATGAGTCGTCTAGTGGAGCGTGTGGTCCTGGGCCTTGAGCTGGACTCTGGAGTAACAGGCGTATCACTCATATCGAGGTGACTCTGCTTCTCCTAGGTGTGTAAAAAAAAAAGATAAAAAGTGATATCCTCCACAATGGAGAACGCGCTTTCTCAAAAAAAATAAAGTATATGAATCCGCTGACTGGCAGATTCAGGGAAA